AGAATACGTAAGACTAAAAACCATAGTTGAGGTTTAAATTTGATAGCTTTTGTAGTTTGGCGACAAACCATAATTTAGTCGTCAAATCTTACTGCCCTAACTTTTTTCCGCATCCGATAATATAATAAATTGTAAAGTTGTACATTTTAAAATTCATGAATCATGATATATAATAAGATAACATTGCTAATATTTTAGTTTAAAACTAATGTAAATATAGTAATTTTAACTTAATCAATATATTTTTTATAAAATTTATTGGCGTACATACATGTAAATAATTATAATTTTTGTGTCATTGAACAAGATTATTTATCTCATGTGTGCTATTGATATTGTATACTAATACCTTAAAACTGAATTAAAATTAATCGTTTATGCCACTGGTTTTCAATTTGTCACTTAAGTGACAACTAGCCTTGTATTAACTTTGCATTTTAAAGCATTTGATTCAACAGTAGTTATTTTATTTATTAATATCACCTTACTCACATTACTAATCAATATAATATTTTATTTCAAAACTAATAAGTTTACAACTCATATATTTAATTATATAAACTTAAAATAAACAAAAAATAAAATAATCAAGTTTAGACTCATATTATAACTGGTGTGTTTTGTTTTATTTATAATTTGAATAAAAACTTGTATATACTTTCGATGATTAATAAATATTTGTTTGAATAAATAATTAATAAAAAATTTATTTTCAAATTATGACTTTTAACTTTAAGTGATAGAGATTAATATAATAACTAGTGTTGAATGAAATGCTTTAAAATTAAAAGTTGTTACAAGGTTAGTTGTCACTATATTTTTAGAATGAGAACCACTGGTTTATGCACTATTAAATTAATAATATAAGGTATAATTCTATTTAAAAACAAGTTGACTGATTATTTTGAAAAACCTTAATACTGATTACATTTAATACCTGTATAACTTTTATAATAAAGAAAAACCTTGAAAACATAAGTGACAATATACATAATACAAAAATAAAAATAAGTGGATAATACATTTATATTGATATCTAATGTTTCATAAAAAATGGAAATTAAGGTACATGGAAAATTCAACTAAAATTGTTTTTTATTATAACATAGTTATATATATTATGGCACGATTATTGTATCACCTTTGTGAAATAACAAAGAAAAATGTATAAATTCAACAATAATAAGTCGTAAGATTTTCATACCACCAATCGAGTGATACTGAAGTGGGAAGATTATTTATTTTACTATTTAAACAAAAATTACAAAATAGAAAAATAAAGTTTTTTAACTAAAACATTAAAAATGATGCTGGTTCGAGTTTTATTAAGTTTTACTTTAACTGTATACCTCGCTCATGGTAGCCAAATTGACTACATAAATAGTCTGGGTACCACATGGAAGGTTAGTATTTTAAAATTAATACTATATTAAGTGACAATATAGATTTTAAATTTTTATATAATTAATAGGCTGGTAAAAACTTTGAAAAGGCTCTGAACCGGCATTAGGACTGGCACCCGGTTACAAGCCATTACCACCAAGCTCAAACATTACTTATGATATTGCTGATGATGACATACCAGAAAACTTTGATCCCCGGGTGGAATGGCCCGACTGTTACACCGTAAAAGAAATTAGAAATCAAGGGTGTTGTGGTATGATTTGATTAATTATTTTTAATATTATATTTACTTATTACACACAACAATAATTTTAGCTTTGTTACATTGAATAATAATTAATCAATATATTATATATTTTACTAATACGCTACAGATCCAATTTATTGAAAATAATTTAAAATAAGTTTTATAATTAATAAAATTAATTATAAAAACTTTTTTATATCATAAAATAATATTTTAATTACATTTTTCATAATTAAACAGGATCGTGTTGGGCATTCTCTACATCCGAGGTCATATCCGATCGCATATGCATTGCATCCAAAAACAAACAACAGGTAGAGGTCTCTGCCGAAGATGTCCTAACCTGTAGTGGCGCCGGTAGTTGCAATGGTGGTTGGCCTAGTAGTGTGTTCAACTACTACATCAAATCAGGTGTTATTAGCGGTGGTCTAGTGGACAGTCATAAGGGTTGTCAGCCTTACACCATAATCGGTGACCACCCGTGCGCGTCGTACGTACCGACCCCTAAGTGTCAGACGTCGTGTATCGCGGGCTATAACCGTACGTACACTCAGGACAAACACTTTGGCAGTAAATCCTATGGCGTCAGCGCTAAAGATGTTCAAAAGGAGTTAATGACAAATGGACCTGTGTCAGCTACATTCACTGTAAGTTAATTTTTATAACTCTTTAAATTATATTTTAAAATAATTCTCCTTGTTAAATATCAAACGTATCATAATTAGTATAAAATATATTAATGATAATAATAGGATAGTGAATGAATCATTACTAAGTTGGGGCTGACAAATAAATTAATATATAAAATTTAAATTAATAATTTTTTTATAACTAATATATTAACTAGGTATACAACGACTTTTTCGCATACAAATCGGGTGTCTACCACCACGTGACCGGTGAATATAAGGGAGGTCATGCCGTTAAGCTTATTGGTTGGGGCGTAGAAGATGGTGTCAAATACTGGTTGGTGGCTAACTCATGGGGCACCGTATTTGGTGACCAAGGTTATTTCAAAATTAAACGTGGCAATGATGAGTGTGGATTTGAGGGTGGCTTCGATGCCGTAACTCCGAAGTTAGAGTAAAATTAAACTTGCTGTAAAAATAGTAATTTGTTAGAATAATGTAAAAATAAATAAATAAAATTTTACATTGAATGTTTGACTTTTATCGCTTAAAAGTACAGTATAAACAAAATACATTTTAGAGAAATTAATAAATAAATGGAAATATAATGAAATGAATTTTAATATTATTATCCAGGATGACTACAAAAATGAGTAGGCTTCGTACGTGTTAATGTAATATTAATATGGATCTTAAATCTATTATTTATGATAAATAACATAAAATACAAATTTATTATACCTTATAATTAATACAAATATAAATTAAATTAATAGTTAATTACTATTATAGTTAAACCAAAAAATTGTTGGATTACTAGTATTATCGATATTTCGCGTATAAGCTATATAGGTTTTTAAATTAAGATAGACTAGATACATTGTTGTTATTAAATCTCAAAAATTGTTTTACATTCACTTTATATCTAACACTTATAATATTTATATTATTTGTTTGGTGATATTTATTTTTAACAAATATAATTAATTTATTAAAAGTTGCGTTAATCTTAAGTTTACATAATATATGTCGTAAAGTCCGCGTCCCGGTTATGATCAAGAACTCAAACCATAGGCTTATAATACTCGCCGTTAGACTCAAGTACTCCCCGAAAGACATTTTCAGTGATATCTCGTATACAGTCGCCGGTTCCGCTTTAGTCTCTATAATCAATCGAAATGAATTATCTTGGTAATAAGCATCAATGCTATTCGTATTAACGGTATAATAGTAATGTATGCATGCTTTCAATTGGTTGTATTCACTGTCACATTTGTCAATAATTTTACTATTAATCCTAGACGGTTTTATAAAATGTTCATCATTAAAATTGTCGCTTATTAGCGTAAGTGCCGATGGTTTTGTCCTTGATAAATTTCCGTGTATATATCTTTCGCAACAATTATAGATGTATTCGTCCCTGAGACCAATATGATGACAGCTATCTAAATGTTTATAGTGAACAATGGTTTTCTTATATTTAACTATGCTAAACAAATCTTTAATTATTGGTATCATAGCTTGGTAATCATAAAGATTAGTTAAACGCAATGTACGTGGATGTAATTTAATATAAAGATAATTAATTAATATATACTTTAGATCAATAAAGATCTCAACATGATCAACTTTTTTGGAGCCATAAAAATTTAAATTTATTAAATTCGTATTATTCATATGTTCCCATAATAATGTAAAGCAATATGAATACGTGTTTATCGCTATAATAGGTGAATGTTGCCACTCACTAGAATATCTTAAAATGTCACTTAAATTTATTAGCATTTTAAATTGTTTTTTAATTGTCCATTTATTTAATTGTTTTAAAATTTTCCAATAATCGGTTTCATTTCCAACTCGACTCCTATTAACCATATTAGATTTAGACATACATAGAGTTATAGATGGGTACGAAATAGTTCCCAGTGTTGATCTATCGTACCGGACATTCGTAGTGGTTTGGTATGCGAAGTATAGTTCACTTATTTTATACGTTTGATACATACATCCCATCAAACATATAGCCATCAGTAATGCATTAATAAAACTATCGCGTTTAAATTGTAGCATTTTTAATTATATAAAATTTAGAAACTTTAATTTAGAATGTAATATTTTTTTGAATACTTTATCAGTACTGTAGTGTCTATAAAAATATTGTTCATAACATATAAACAGTATGCTAAAAGTATAATAAATATAATAAAACTCAGCAATAAGTAATTGCATTGAAAATAAGTTTTGTCGATAAAATCTATTAAATAATTGTTTTGTTTATGTCGTCAAAGTAACTTGTGACAAACATTTTAATAATCATAAAATTATATTTTTAATTTTTCTTATAATTACAATAATAATCTATTCATACAAAAATTGGTACTAAATGCTTTAATTAACTTGTTACCTATTGTTATTTAGTTATATTAATTGTATGAATAGAAAGTCAATTTTATAACTAAAACAATATTATAGTTTATTATTTGTGTATGATATTTTAAATGTAGATTATAATATCATTTATCTGTAATAAATGTCATTTATAATTTACAATATTGTAATATTATACATTACCAATCAATAAAATTTTAATTTATATTCATTTCATTATAAATCATAATCTATATTTTTTATACTACAAATATGACAATAAAACTATTATATTAAAATAATAATATCAGAAATCTATTTTTATAATTATAGTGTCACATTTAATTCAATAGAAATATGCATTTAATTATATAATACTGTAATCGATCTCATATTTATAACATAATTAAATTAATAACATGCTTGTATTTTAGTTTAATACTAATGCTGTAAATGTAGTGATCTTAACTTAATCAATATATTTTTTATAAAGGTTGTTAGCATACATAAAGGTAAATAAATATAATTTTTGTGTCAATGAACAATATTATTTATCTCATGTGTGCTATAGACATGGTAAACTAATACCTTAAAACTAGCGTTCGAAATGAGAAAATTTTTGGAAAATTTTTAATGAAAATTTTTAAAAATTTTTCAAAAATTTTCTCATCAATAATTTTGACTGAAAGTTATAAAAATTTTTAAAAATTTTCTAAAAAATATTCTAGGATAACTTATCTAATTTTCGACAACTTGAACGTTGTTTATGGCCAAAATGTTTGAAATGAGTACTTTATAAAACCTGTTTTAAGTCATGTGGTAATCCATTCAGTCGTGTTTTCAAAATTTAACAGTTTTTAAATTTAAATACTAGATCAGTTTTAATTCCTCGATAGTATAGTGGTTAGTTCCTGTTATAAATGTATCGAGGAGGCCGTAAGCCTTCGATTGTATACCAATTTGTGAACAATGAAAGAAAATGTAATTATTGTGGATTTGAAGTTCAGAAAAATACAACTCAAATGAAAACACATTTTACTAATTGTAAACAAACTCCAAATTGGGTTAAATCAGCTCTAAGTCAAGAAACTAAAAAGAATAGTCACAACAAATACAACACAAATGAAGAGGTTGAAGAATGTGATGTCCAATTTAATGAATCAACTGAAGTTCAAGTGACATCACAAACCATATCAAAGTATTTCCTCGATAGTATAGTGACTAGTATCCCTTGAATTTATTTATTTATTTATTTTAAATTATAGGAAACGTAAATGGTTTGATGACATCAGTATCAACGAAAATGAGTGTTCCAAACGACTTTTGGCTAAATGTGTTTATATGAATAGACTTCCATTCAATTTAGTTGATGATAAATACTTCAAAGAGTTCGTGCACTCATTAAGACCATCATTTAAGTGCCCTCACCTTATGAAATCTCTAATCCATTGCTTGACAATGAATATGAAAAGGTAAATTACTCGATATTATAATGATTAGTATCCCATTGTATCATTTATTACAGATCAAGAATGAGACACAGAATCTATTGTCTCAAAGTTCATCAAAAGTGCTAGTGATTGATGGATGGAAGAACATAAGACGAGACCCTTTGCTTAATGTGATGACCATTGCAGATGGAACTCCTTTATTCTATAAAGGAATAGCTGTTGGACCAAACAGTCAAACTGCACAATTCATTTCCGTGAAACTAATTGACATAATCAATGAATTAGGTAAGTTTAAAACGTGATATTAATCACTAAGGCTTTACTTTTGAGTTATTTAACTATTTGTTGCGATAGCCAAGAACTTCTTGAGATTAATTATGCATACGAATCATGTAATAAGGGTCATTTTAAGTTTTATTTTAACTATAAATAACTATTTGATGGGTTCGTAACTATTAGAAAATTTCAGGTTTTTTGATGAAAAGCAGTGAAATTTTACATTTTTAGAACAGATTCTAGTAGATTATGAGTTTATAATTTATTGAAAACTATAAATGATTGTAATTAAATTTTTGAAATAAATTTTCTTATATAAAAAGTTAACAAATATAGAATAGGTACACATTCTTTATAACATACTGTAGAAAACAATATTTGTGTCTACATTTTGTGACAGTTTTTTGGTAAT